TAAGAAGAAAAGGGCTTCCTCTTTGGAGGAGGATGTGATCTCGATGAAAGAGTTGATGAAAGCAGCATTTGCTGCTGCATCAGGTTTCGAGTCATGAGCTTCGGTTTCCATGGGAGAATTTCAGTGGCTTCAACTCGAACTGATCTCCGTCTGATCTGATAGTGAAGTAGAAGAAGAAGATGATGGCTTGGAGCTTCGGCAAGCCTCCATTCCCACGTACATTGATTCTTTTCTCTGAGAATTAAAAATAAAATATCTTCTCACCCGTACAAGTCAATGAAACGACGGCGTCTAACCGCCCCACCCTAATCTGGCATATCGTTGAAACGACACCGTCTTGTTACTCTACGCACCCTTCTGCACGTCCCGTATCAGGAGTCCTATTATAAAATTAAATCTATTAAATTATTCGAGCGCATAAAGTCAATAAAACTAGAACTAATAAATCTATAATTCAATAATTTATAGGGTATTAAATTATCCAAAAATCTTATTTTAAATAACAGATGCTACTTTCCTTAAATAATAATAATAATAACAATAAATAGTAAATAAATAAATAACATATAGTACATACCAATTTGACATAATTTAATTAGTTAAAATATATATCCTTAATCAAAATGCCACAAATCCAAGTCTCACCCCACGTGTTCCATAAATTAAGTTCCATAAATGTATCTAGACCCTTATAACTATGAACTTTTAATTATGTTTGAATTATTGTGTTACTACTAATAACTAAATTCTTAACATTAAAAGTTTTATTGATAATCAACTTATATATAAAATTGAACATTTTAAAATAATCATTTTTTTAGTACACATTTTTAAATAATCAAGAACCTAATAAATAGATATCTTACCCATGTTCAAGTTATATACCTATCCTACATATAACTCATGATTTACTCAGTACCTTTTAAAATAATCATTAATAAAAATACAAAAACCAAAATGTACGAGATTCGTATCAAAACTAAAAATGTGCTTGAATACCAACTCCGATAATCAACTACTGAACTCAACTGAGTTATAAGTTGGAGACCATCGAGATATCGGTATAGCACAGGCAGCTATGAGAGGAAATTCAAGTTCACCATCCGTCTTTACTTGGGAATGAAGAGGGGAACATAGCATGTCACAAATCAAATAAATCTAATGAACTAGACAAGGATAGTACAAACATGGAAACCGAGATTTCTGAAAAAAAAAAAGAAGGTGAAATATCAATTATCTATCATGACCAGTAAAAGAAAGACCATAAGTAGTGTTACAAAGCATTATGTTGCCTCATTTATTTCAATATATGTCGGCATAAGAGCTTACAAGCAATAAAGCTAATTTTGTATCTCTTTTGGCTTTATTCAACAATCCAAACTTGAGGTTCTCCACACTGTTGGTTCCTTCTTGTCTAGTATTCACCTGCAAAACCAGCTTTCAGATACAGAGTATGACCTAGGGATTAAACAGTTCAAGATTACATATTAATGCTAGATGAAATACCAAGAGCTTCAAGATTTCTGGCCCACAACATTGCCGACATTTGAAAGTCGAGGAACGACAACAGGTCCACCACGAACCTTGTCAAGGGCAAAGCTTATCCTCAATGGTCGCCCTAATAAGGCCTGCAAGTGATGTGAAGACTCTCATTCGACTAATTTATGATGACATATTAAAAGTGAAAAACTAACTTTTTTCTTATGACTTGCCTTTCCGTCCATTGCATCTTTCGCACATTGTGCATCATCTTCATTTGTAAAGTTTACAAATCCAAAGCCTCTGGATCGACCTGAGTCTTTATCATACACTATTCTGACTGTCAAGAAACATTATACCATTCAGAACATAAGAGGTTTAACATAACAAAACTCAACATCTGAGCGGTCTTGTCCAGTGGCAGAAGGAAAAGGATAGAAACTTATGGGGTGGAAAAATAATTGCCATATACTTTGTATCACAGTGGTCATTGAGTTTCATCCTATGGTTATATCAAATGAACTCCATAAGCTATTTGATGAAGTTTCAGAATGATCACCAATGCACGTCACATTCCTTTCAGCTCATACATGAATTTCAATTTCCCATCTAACAAATTCGTAGTACTTCCCAATTCTCTTACGTGCAGATTTTTCATTCTTGAAAATTTTCATCGATTCCTGTCTTAAAATTCCAAGAAAATCACAGAACCATAGTAAAACTCGATTAAACAGCATGCTCCTAGTCCTATCTTTCTTAAACTCGTTTGCTCCCCTGATTTCCACCAGGCAATATGTCTGTAGAAAATATTAACGGAAACTAGATTGATACGGATGCCTATGTAGGCTTTTCTATCTTCCATTATTCGGACAACTTTTCTAATCTCTCTATCTAAGGAGAAATTGTACAAATGGATAAAACTAGAGAAAAGGGCAATAGAGCAGCAAGACTGTGGTACTATATTTTTTCTTCAAATTTTCAGGTGACCAGATACCAAAGTAGTAGTAATAATAATAATCTATTTTGATTTTTGACAGTGGCAAGAGAGGAAGTCCCAAGTTTCTTGAATTTTGGTAGAAAATTCACGAATCAATATTTTGACTCCATGGAGGAAAACGCACATCTCTCTTTACAAGACATAAACCAGTAATCTTCAATAAAATTTAAAAAATATCCTCAGAATTATGAGTGACAAATGGCAATGCAGCAAAAAAGTTTCGACCCAGAAGCACACATGATGTACTGAAATCGACTAGACATTTCGTCGAACATATTGACGACAGCTCAAATAAAGACTTCAAACTTGTAACTTAACATTCGCGATTACCTTCAGTAACCTCCCCAAAGGAAGAGAACGCATCTTTCAAGGATCTCTCGTCCATTGACCACGACAACCCTGCAAACCGCAGGAACGAACAAGATCAATTCAATGAATAAACCATTTGAAAGATGCGAAAGCGGCACGAACCTGCAACAAAGAGCTTATTGTTCAGCGCAGAAGGAGAAGACGAAGAGGATTGAGAACAGAAGCAAGGGCATCTCAGAGTTCGGCTCTGGATATTGGTAAGAACTCTTCTGGCAACCAGCATGAAGGTGTTCGTGTTGCTCATCATTGGTTATGCTTATCGTAAAATTGATTTCCCTCGAAAACTTTTCCAATGCTGAGAAGGCAGACTGTAGGTTTGAAAATCACTTCTCCTATTCTCAAAATCGCTTCATCAATAAATTAAAAAATTAACTAAAAAAATAAAATCAGACGTTAGATATTGCAATTTTGAAAAATCAATCGGACTTAGAATTTCTTGTTTAAAAATCATTCCTTCTACTATCGTTGAGTTGAGATAGGAAGATGGTAAATAAAATTTTTTATTTTTATAATTTTTCAAAAATATTTATCAATAAGTAGATATTTTCATCCATATTTAAAATTTGTTTCTAAGTTATAAAAACTAAAGTAGTTGAAAAGAAAAGGAAAAGAAAAAAGCCAGAAATTATAATAGACCCGGTCCAGCCCGGCCCGTTTAAGTTTCCCTTTCCTATTACTAAAAATTAAAGTTATATTAAAAATAAAAAAAGGGGTCAGCCGAGCCCTATCATCGTTTCTCAATTCTCAGTCTCTCTCTCTCTCTCGATATTTCACTCCGTCTGAGACGGCAGCGTGAGCCTGAACTTCAGCAGCTATTTCTTCACCTCTCCCCTTCAACTCCACACTTTTATCTCTCATCGTCAAAGCTAGCGGCCCTCGATTCCTCTCCTTTCTCCTCCTCGAACTAGTAAGATTGCAGTTTTAGGTTCTTTTCATTTGCGATTTTATTGCCTTGTGCTTCCTCCCCGTCTGATCTTCTGTTCACGCTTTTCCTGCAATCTAATTTTTGGGGCGTTTTGTTTACATGTGATGTTAGGAAAGATTTATTATTTTACTGGGCTAATTGGTTTATGCCAATATTATTGAGTTTGAGCTTGTTAAGATTGATGGGGTTCTATACCATTCTCAGAACTGTTCTTTATCTTTTTCCTCAGTTTACGGATCAGTTTCCATTTTTAAGTGGTTCTTCGTGATGTGCAGACACCAGTTTGATTGATAAACTTATGTACATCTGTTCTTCAAAAGAGGAAAATCTTCAGTAAATCAAAACTTTGGTATCTTTTAATGAATAGCTGTAAGGTGGGATGTTTGGCATTCAAATATCCTGCCTCTTTTCTTAGTTTAAAAACGTTTTTAATATTACATTACTCCCATAACTAGTCTTAAATTCTATGCTGTGAGTGTGACTTAATACTGTAGGCACAGTACTAAGGGTGCTAACTGAAATGGAACCGAAATGAATTGGTAAAACTGGTTTTAAACTGAAAAACGATTGGTACATTTTGCACGTCTGGCAAACTCAACATTATGGTTTCAATTTTTGGCTTTGTTGAACCGAATTGAACCATGTGAACCCCCAACATTAGTTCTATCACAATGCTACAAGGTAGAGATCCTCCTTCTCAGCTGTTCCGTATTGAAACTATTTCACTTCCTAGCATGCATTTCACCTTTGAAAACGTTGCTTTTGAGACTGAATGCTGTGTCTACAGAAAATCTTATGCAAATGTCAAGCACTATATTGATGACAATGAACTAATTAATTTCTGCATCTGCACCGGAACTGTTTTGCTTCCAAGCTTGCAGTTCCACCTCTTTAGAACATTGCTTTTTATTATTGGAAGTGCAAGGGGTGGTGGTGCAGTTGGCTAACACATAGGTTTCATAGCTTAAAAAAGAGTTATCTTGAGGTCGAGAGTTCGAGCCTCTCTCACCCCAACGAATTTTATTGGAAGTGTCGAGTGGACGTGAACAAAGCAAAACAATTTATTTCGGATGACAAATGCAGCATAGAAGTGCTTTCTACTTACTGTAATCAGCAATATCTTTTCATGCATTTGTTGTGCATCTAGAGCATTGGTGGAGTTTTCAAATGATTTTTTGTTTACTTCAAAGTTGGATACCGCACAAGTTTTTCATTCTAACAAGCCAAAAGATTTTGTTGAGATACTTTGATGGGATTGTTGAATGTTGATATACTTGCGGAGTCACATTTTCTTCATCTTTATTTTGTTTTGTAGATTTTTGAGATCTTGGACATGAATGCCTTCAAGGCTTTCAAAGCGAATGTCCCAATTGCATGGAGTCCTAATCTTTATATCACATTAGTCAGAGGGATGCCAGGAACAAGGAGACTCCACAGACGTACTTTAGAGGCATTAAGGCTTGGGAAGTGCAACCGAACTGTCATGCGCTGGAACACACCAACTGTTAGGGGAATGATCCAACAGGTTGCTTTATATACTCCTTGTCTACAGTGTACAAACAAGCACTAGAACACAGTTTTATGGGGACTGAATGCTATCTCATCCCTTTTTTCTTTGTTTTGCTCAATTTAATTATAGGTAAAGCGATTAGTAGTGGTTGAAACAGAAGAAATGTACAAAGCACGTAAACAGAAGGTGGAACAACACAAGGCTCTTCGACCTCCATTAGTTGTAAATCACCTTCCTGTTCCAAGTTCTACTTCTGCTCCTTGAAAACATGTATTGCTGTTAGAGGTCAGGTCTACTTCTCAAGTATTGGGACGATGTTGAAAAGGATTATATTTGAGCTGTGTATTTTTCTGGAATTATTTGTCAATCAAGGCTTTTATGCTCTACACATCTTCCTGAGTCTAGTTGCGAACTAAAATAATTATTGAAACATTTCCCAGTTTGAAAATTAAATGTCTATCAAATGCTACTTCAGTAGGAACCCGTCTATTAGACACGGCTGTTTGCACCAATGAATGTACGGCCCTTTGCACTTTAGAACATGGGATTACTTGAAATATGCTGAATGGTTTAAATTATATAAAACCCTGGAAGACAAAATGGCAATCGCTGATCTGTTCATTAATGCTGTAAGCATAGCCATAGGATGGTTGTAGCTATAGGCTTCTAGATAATCAAACTCATGCAGGATTTGAAACTTATAAAATGGACACCTTGATGAAGCATACACTCTAGATTTCTGTTGCCTTCATGCTTGTTGGCCCTTCCATTTCAACTGCGACCATGTTACTTGAATTCTTGAGTTCCTCATTGTTGTCTGTGGAATTGGAATAATGCTGGTCTTTATACTGATGTTTACGGGCTAGGAGAAGAAAAAATAAGAAGTTTAGCAGCCCCAGCACTGCAAGTAGCCAATAGAAGTAGTTCAAACTTCCCTTGTTGAGATTACTTCTCAGCCAGCGCTTGTTGGTTACTTTATCTACAATTGTTACCAACAAGCTACTAACAAAAAATCCCATGGAAAGTGTGCTAAGGAAGAGTCCCGTGCTCATGGATTTCATTCGTTCCGGGGCTTCTCTGATGAAAAACTCGAGTTGTCCAACATATGCAAATGCCTCTCCAGCACCAATCAAGAAGTACTGGGGAATTAACCAGAAAGCACTTATCTGAATATTTTGCCCCACAGAGAATGCCCTCCTTTCTTTCTCAACAATTCCAGCAGCCACCATGCCAAAAACTGCGAAAACGAGGCCAATCCCAATCCTCTGAAGGCTTGTGAGACCTTGGACATTGTGAGTCAGCTTCCGAGCGATCGGTATGAATAGTTTCTCATTCAAGGAAGTCACCAGCAGGATGGTGATGAACAGGAAGGCAGACATAGAACCGGCAGGAATCTCAAGACTGCCAACGATTCTGTCCATAAATGAGGCTTGCTCCACTGTGAATGTAGTCATCTGAGAGTAGATCGTCCAAAACAGGATGCCAGTGGACCAGATGGGTAAGAGCTTCAACACCATTTTCACTTCTTCAACTTCAGTCACCGTCGAGACTATCCAGGGGTTGTATCTGTTTTGGTCGACAGCAGTGTACTCATCCAGAATTGCAGCTTTGTCAAGACACCTAATATTTTCATTTTCATTACATTATTTGCTTGCCAAATGGTGGAGATATCAAACGAATTGAAAAAGACAAGCTTGAATAGTGTGTTTTTCCTTTTGTTTCATCAACAATGCATCTTGCAGCATATCTTTTAATATATTCAGAACAAAAAACAGGTAGCCGACGAAACAGAAGCAAAAGATGTTAAACCTTGTCAATGTGCCTTGTTTCCCGCTAATAGTCAATTGGCTGGATATCTAGTACTTTTTATCCATTGTAAGTTTACATCTCGTCTTTCTCATTTGTAATGTATTGTAAAAGAGATAAAAGAGTGACTATGTAGCAATAGATCTAAGAATACTTACTTGAACTTGCAAGTGTAAGGAACCTTGGCGTTTTGGTAGTCATTTAAGAAGCTGGGATGAGCTGGGTGAGGGAGATTTCTCTTCTTCCAAGCCAAAAGCACCACCCTCCATATAACTGTAAGGGGACTTCCTCTAGGCTTCTTAAACCTGTAAAACGTTGTCCCACAAAGCAATACAATAACAGCAATCACCATGGTCCCTCCTGAGATTCCATATCCCCATCCTCTCCCCACTTTGTCCTGTACATAAACCAACACAATGACAGCGAACAACGACCCAATACTTATGGCAAAGTAGAACCTATTGAAGAAGAAGATCATGGCCTTCTCCTCCTTTGGATCATTGATGTCGAATTGATCGGACCCGAATCCCGAAACGTTTGATTTTATCCCACCTCCGCCAAGTGCTATTGTGTAAAGTGCAGCGTAGAGCAGGGCAAGTTGCCCACCATTAGCTGCAATGCACTGATGGAGTTGCCTTCTGAAGTCATCACAATGAGGGGGTCTCATGCCAGGGATGGTTGTGGCCAGTGTTAACAAAATCACACCCTGCAGAAAGCCAGGAGACCGATGTATGAGGCTGATTGCAGGTTGGTAAAGTAATTTTCTTTGTTTTTAAGTCATTCATAGTGGCTTTTAACTTCTTACCACAGCAGTTATGGAAGCAAAGATTGCAACAGTGAGGTACCGTCCAAGCCTAGCATCTGCTAAGAATCCACCGAGAAGGCCAAGAAGATTAAGAGCACCCAAAAAGTTGGTCACAATATTGGCAGATTTGGCTGAAGAGAGATGCAAATCCCCAACTAAATATGTCACCAAGTTCATTGATATGCCCATCACACATATTCTTTCAGAAAGTTCAGTTCCTGCATCATTTTTAGCATTCAAATTAACCATTATCAAGCTCATTTCATTGATAAAAGTTGGAATCTCGGTCTTCTGTGAAAACCAAAGAAATATATATACCTAAGATGAGCCCTGCAGCAAGCCATCCCCCTGTTTTTGATTTGTCCACTGGGTTCCCCCAAAAATCTAATGCAGCATCATCCTCTCCTCCTTCACTCCCATGTTTTGCAACCAAAACCTGTTGAAAACAAAGAAAAAAAAGAAACTTTTAGAAAAAGCCATATCAGAGCCAACAGGTAGCATGGAGTTTCTCCATAAACAAGTTACCATTTTTTTTTATTTGGTTTGTTTCTCTCCAGTAGAGAGAGAGAGAGGGAGAGAGAGGAAGAGAGGAGGGAGTGCTTGTTACTTGTGAGCTATAGTTGTGCTTAGATTCATGATTTATTGGAAATCAAAAAGTTAGAGTGTATGATTGGGATTATAGGAGAGAGAAGAAGATAGGATTGGAACTAAATCAGCTTGTGGCTTATACATTTTACTCTGAAAGCATGTGTAAGAAGTTTGGAGTTATGCCAAGGCATTTTGTGGTAGTGGAGCTTGCAGCCACATAAGCTGCACAGATGCTGGAAAATGACATGTTTTTTCTTCCCCCATTAATACAATCCATCTATTTCTTATCTTCCTAATTTCAAATAACTATATTGTACATGAATTTCATTTGGGATTCTCTGTGTCATCCTATGCTAGGTTGACAGAAGAACATAAAAATGATTCAATAAAAAATTGAAGGCAAAATACAAAACAACCCTCACTTTCCTTTTTTGCATTACATAAACTTGAAGAGTCAATTCTACAATTGGAAGATATAAGATATAAGTTACTCTTTTCAACCCCCTACAGCATCATTTCCCTCTTCTCTGAGTCGAATTCTGATATCAGATTCTTTTGTTTATGTGAGTTAAGAACTTAAACAAAAAAGTATTTCTCAATTAGGAATATTTTTATTAATGGCATATGCCCACATGTCAGATCCATTCCTTGAGAAAGTTGCAACCATTCAATAACTCAAAGAAGTTGATCTTTTTGAGTAGCCCCATTGAAAAAGAAAAGGGGGAAGAAAGAGAAAGAGAAAGAGAAAGAGAAAGAGAAGATTGTTTGGTGGAAAAAGACAGAAGTTCAGACAGAAACCATATATTCTTGTATTTAGTAACAGAAAGAGCCGTGCAGACATAGGAATGGTTGTGTGTTGGAGGGTCATGTGAGTGGCCACACTGTTAGCCTCAAATGAGTGAATAAAAAGGCTTTGATATATATATTTATATGGCTTTCCATCATTCCACATGCCTTAGACTTTATAATTGCCCAATTAGATTTCTAATTCCCTCTATTGAGGAGTGACTGAATTGATCAAGGATGATGATTGGATGAACTTTATCAGCTGGGACTTTCTAGTTATAGCTTTAGCCTCCGTTCAAAACGTTTCAAGATTTATGAAAATTTTTATAGGGAGAAAATAGACATCAGCTAAGCAACTAAAAAGAGGAAAGAGAGCCGAAGAAGGAGCGGACCTAGAGAGAGGTAAGTGGGGCCGAGCAGTTACCAGACCTCGGCGCCGAGCAGTGCTCGGCCCATTGGCCGAGAACCTCTTAAGTGATTCCCGACCCCGTGCAAGTCCAGTCTGTGTCGACTTGGTCTTGACCCTGAATAGTACAGCATGAGGCCCATTCTGTGATCAAGGATTCGACGAATGTAAACCCTAAGAGGATTAGGATTCTGCTGATCCTGAAGGGATTAGGAGTCAACCATTATAAATACAAGGGTAAGTCAAACTTCAGAGGTATGCCTAACAACCCTACTTTTTATACCCGACTACTCCGATACTAACTCAGGCATCGGAGCCCGTGTGACAAAAGCCACACCGGTCCTAGTGTTGAACTGTTTTGTAGGTCTCATCAATTCCTTTGTTTTTGAAGATTGGTGCGAATTCGGCGAAATCTCGGGAGGCAAAATTCTAGCATCAACAAAAATATTTTGCAGCGTTTGCGTATTATGACGTACAACAATTTGAGGATATGAAAGATTGAACCTACGACTTTGACAAAAAGACTATATGTCAGTTACTACAGAACTATGCACTAAACTTTTTCCTAACCATGGAAGATAGTAATTATGAATTGTGCTGCAATATGTTTTTCTTAGAAATAAATAACTTAGTTCATGAGTTACCATTTATTTTTTAGATTTATTCATTTTTAGAATAAAATTATTAGTGAAATCTACTTATTTATTAAATAATATAAATAAAGAATACAAAGTAACATGGACTAATTTGAACAATAGTTAAAAAATTTATTTTCTTTTCCGAAGTCATAAACTTTAATTTTTATTTCGCTCCTTTTTTATGTAATATTTTTTAAAAGGAAAAATGTTTTTTCTTTATAATAATGATGATTTTTTTTCTTTTTCTCAAAATTTGGTAGTTTCAAAAACTTATTTGTAAAGATATACTCGGACAAGCTTATCCTTTGCCATGTGAGCGATCGATCAACCTCAGTCAGCAAGTAGAGGAATGGCAAAATACATCTTAAATATATATATATTTTTTAAATAATCAAGTAGAAAAACCATTTTTTATCTTTTACATCACGTCAATTTTGCAACAATATTATTATAAGCTCTTCAAACTTAAAATTAATAATTTGACAATGATAAAAATTATGTTATTAGTAATTAATTTACTACAATATCCTATTTCTTAAAAAAAAATTTACTACAATATCCAAATATATAACAAACCATTTTCGTAGCTCAACTTGTAGCTTCTCTAGGAATTCCCATCCCTCTTGAATTGTAATATTAAAAAGAAAGAAAACCCATTTTTTTGCAATTATTTACTATATTTGGCATTAGTTTATTTCTTTTTTTCTTTTTCCTTTTCACAGCCATATACATTCTTAGGTCACAATCATTCAGCCCTTGAAGTTGAACAAACACATTACAGCAAAGTTAGTTCATTGAACATATTTGCATGCTGATTATACACATTTTGCTCTGTCTTAAAAAAAAAAAAAAGACTTGTGACAAAAGAAACCTAAAAACTCGATTTTTATTTTTTTCCCTTCAAACATAAAGCAGCTTCTGGTTCTGGTTTTGATCTGCGGGAGATGTGGGTTCCTTGGTTTTGATCTGCTGCCGATGATACAACTGCCCCAGCCTCTCTATTTCCCTCTTCAGCTCTTCTTCATCAGCTGCATTTTTCTTAATTATATTAGCTTCACCTAAGTTTGGGCTAAATATATATATTTTAGTCTCTAATCCTTATTATTTACAAGATTTCAATTAGTCTCCGCAGGTTAGGATTAGTTGAAAATTCTTATATGGAATGATACACAGTGATCGAGTAGGAATTAGATAATGGGAAGAAAGTATCTCAATCATCCTTCAAATTCTTAAGAAATTAGCAGATAAATTGAAAGGGTCTAATTAAAATATGTTAAAATATAAATACTAAACTAAAAAATTTGAAACAGTACAGTAGAACTAAATTAAAAAAATATAAAGACTAAAAAGAGAAAAGTTTTACTTCTGCTTTTGTTTGTAATTTGAATTTTACCATCTTTGAAAATTTTGTCTTGAGAGAGGGTGGCGATTCTTTGCTTGAGAGCAGTGTTGTCCACATTTAGAAGCAATCGCTGCTGGTCTAGAAATGCAACCCGCGGTGACAGCATTGAAACTTCGGCCTTTTCGGATCCAATTATAACAAAAACCACATGTTTAAGCAGAGAGAGTGAATAATTATTATATATTCTAATCAAAACCAATATTAATAAATATATATAATGCAACACCTGTAATGAAGTCACACTACGTTCCAGCTCTGTAATGTATTGTAGCTTCCTCACCCTTGATCTTCTTGCAGATTGTCTGTTTGCCAGGATTCTGTATTTTGTGCCAAATTTGTGATCATATTGTGTCAATTACTAAAAACTGTTTTGATAATGTAAAAGCACTTCCTTGAGTAAACATTTTACTCCCTGCGTTTCAAAATTTATCTCAAACTCACTCTTAATTTACCTCTTCACTCTTTTGGGGTCGAAAATCCGATCCTTGGAAGAGATGTTTGTTGCTGCATTTTGGCACGGGTGAAGCTTCTCACATTTTGCAGCCGCTTCTTTCTCATGATCTCTGTTGTAATCTGAGGAGGTGGGCTGGTCATCACTCAACATGGACCTAAATTGCTCGTCATCAGACCTATCAAACGCATATCCTGGTGCAGCCGAGGCTAACGAGGCTCGGCTCAGCATCGACATCTCGAGGAAGGCGATCGAGTCGCGGTGGAGAGCAGGGCTTGTGGCAATGGAGTGAGGCCAATTTGGAGGAGTAGCCAAGTTTGGGATTTTAGGAGGCAAATGTGGCATGATGCAATGGAGGAGGGGGTTTGGAAATGGGAATTGAAGAGTAAAAATGTAAACTTTATGGAATCTGAATCTGAATGAGAATGAGATATGTTATATATTGGTGCAGTGATGGCACATGGACAGCTATTTCCAGTTGGTTGGGGGCTCTAATGGAAAGTCTTCCGCAGTAGGCAGTAGTAGTGGAAGAGCTTAATTATATTTTTAAATCAGTCACCACGTGCCATCTCTGAGGCCTGCAATTTAGTGGGATCCCTCGCCCTTGTCTCATTATAATCATTCTTATTACTTTTATTTCTGATGACCGAAAGCTTCTATCCTCTGTGTTTCCCTCTACGGCAAGCTTTTGATCATCATATGCGATTGTTTCGTAAGATTAATCGTGGAAAATGAATGATTCGAAGAGATGAGATTATTGTGTTTGTGGGTTTTGAAAAATGGAGAAACGAAGAGGAAATGCATGAGATGAGATGGTTGATTAGAAGGTTCATGTATATGGTAAACCCATGTGGATTCAGTTGTCCTGTGGACTGTTATACTGAACAAAGTACAAACCACGACCACTTGTAGGGTACATTGCCCTCTGATCTCTAGGTCCTTCTTTTCTTGTGGGCTCTGCCCTGGCAACACGAGAAAATATTGATGTTCAAATTTTGTTCTCACCGTTATTAAAAATGATCACTCATTAATTTTTATAAAAAGTCATAGTTTTTGCATTTCTCTCTATTAGTTGTCAAATACTTAATGGTTGTGAGAACAAGATTGCTCTTTATTATTAACGAGCTAAGTATTTTAGTTTCAGTTGGGTGACGTACAAGTTTTATGTTTTTTATTTCTTGTTTCTTCTTTTTCAATAAATGAAAATAAAATTATGCTTGGCAGTTGTTTTTTATTTTATTGAAAAAAGAAACAAAATATGTTTGATAACCATTTTTTAATTTTTGTTTAAGTGAAATTTTTATATGAAGTTAATTTTTTAAAATTAAATATTCAATTTTTATGTTACATTTATTTTTTTAACATTTATTGTGTATTTTATAAGTAAAAAATGAAAAAAAAAATATATGTATGAGAAAAAAGGGGAACGATAACCAAAACTAAGAAAACTTGATTTTTTTGTTTCCAAAATTTCTATATGGTTTTAAAAATTAGAAACCGAAAATGGAAACAATTACCAAACAAGAAAAAAAAATGTTACCAAATTGACTCTGGTGCCAAACCATCCTATTCTTACTTCTTGACTTCTACTTTTTAAAGTTATCATATCATTTGGAGGCACCTATGTTCTTAGTGTTTCTTACTTGAAAAGTTATATTGCAAGCTCTCAAATGGAGCCAAATTTCCTTGGATAGTAGACAGTAAAAAATATGAAATGATAGGTGAAGGGATTATTTTATTTTGTTTTTTTTTTTTTAAACATCATGTGATATAGGAGTGGGGTAAAAGGCAATGCATCAGTTCAAAACTAGCTTTGTTCTTTGTGGGGGAATCTTAAAGGTGGGGTTAGTAAAGGAGTTGACTGTAAAAACAAACTGCAGAGGTAAAAATCAGTTTGTCCTTTTGGTGCAGTATTCAAGTTCATCCTCCCTATACTACACTTTGGCTGGGCTTCCAAATTTACCTTTGCTTTTCTTAAAATATAAGTTGAGTTTTTTAAGAAAAAACTTCGTTAAAGTATTCATAAACAAGTTTAATGATTAAATTTATCATCATTCCATCAGTTTAAACATTAAATTTATCATAATTCATCCGCTTAAATTTTTTAATTTAGTGGTAATTTAACACTTCAAAGTTCTTATAAAATTGAGATATTTTAGTTTACGATTTGATCGAGTCGTTCTCCTCTCAAGACTAATTTTTAGAATATCAATTTATTTGTAGGAAATTTTTTGTTTCCAAATTTTTTTAAAAAAATTAACTTATAATACAATAACAATTTTTTAGTTCAACAAACTGTGGAAATGAAGATTAAGCCTCGAACTTGAAGGTAATGAGTGCTCCGTTCGTTAAGTTAATTCTAGAATGGGTGATAGCGCAAAGGCAACCGTTTAACACATCCGTACACTACAGCCAAGCAATTTCTACAATAAAAGAGCGCACAAATTGGTGTATTTTCTTTCTTGCGGACATCTTAAGCAGACCATTGCACAGGCACAGTGTTTGCACCTTTTTCTTCCGTACTGGGAAGACGAAACACAATAGAGACTTGCCTTACTGAAACTTCAAGGTGTGAAAAACATGAATCCAAGAATTTCTAAGTATCAAAACTCCATCCTCTTGCATTTGAGAACGGATCAATTTATAAGTAGAGTTCAATTTGGTGAATGAAAACAAAAATTAGCTTGATTTGCAATCAGAAACAGGCCATGGAAGCATATGGAATGATTCGAAATGTGGGTTTTATGTGGCTGATTCTCTGTGTTTTTTGGACACTTTCAATGGCATCCGTTGCAGAGGACAACCCTCCCGGAGATGGTTCCGATGACATGAGAGACAGGTACCAGAAATGGATCGATAAATATGGTCGAGAATACAAGAGTGGAGAGGAGCGGGAGAAGAGGTTTCCGATTTATCAGTCTAATGTTCAATACATTGACTACTTCAATTCTCTGAATCGCTCATATACTCTGGCTGACAACATGTTTGCAGACCTTACAAATGATGAGTTTAAGACAACTTATTTGGGATATCTAACTGATTGGTCTCCTGACACATGCTTCAAATATGGCAACATTGTTAATTTGCCTACTAATGTTGACTGGAGAAAGGAAGGTGCAGTAACTCCGATAAAGGACCAAGGCCAATGCGGTATGAACTCATCCAACTTATAAGAAATCACCATTAACATGTTCTCTTTTCTTCTGATTTTGAGTTCTTTGGATAACAAGTAGCCCTATATCCACTATAAGTCATCTCTTAGTAGATGAACATACTTACCAGTTTTGAAGAATTGACACAGGGAGTTGCTGGGCGTTCTCGGCGGTAGCAGCTGTGGAAGGCATCACCAAAATAAAAACAGGAAAGTTGGTGTCTCTATCAGAACAAGAGCTCCTGGACTGCGATGTTATCTCGGGGAACCAGGGATGTAGTGGTGGTTTCATGCCCAAAGCATTTGAGTTCATCAAGAAAATTGGAATCACTACAGAAAAAGAATATCCATACAGGGGAGTTGAAAATGTATGCAACAAACAAAAAGTGAGATACCACTCTGCGACAATAAGTGGGTATGAAAAAGTACCTGCCAATGATGAGAAAAGCCTAAAAGCTGCAGTTGCTAACCAGCCAGTCTCTGTAGCAATTGATGCAGGGGGGTATGATTTTCAGTTCTATTCTGGCGGAATCTTCTCAGGGAATTGTGGAAAGCAACTCAATCATGGAGTGACAATAGTTGGGTATGGGGAAGACGTCGGTAAAAGTTACTGGCTTGTCAAGAATTCATGGGGTACTAGCTGGGGTGAATATGGTTATGTAAGAATGAAAAGTAATTCAAGTGATAAGCGAGGTACTTGTGGCATAGCCATGGATGCTAGCTACCCCATCAAAGACTGAGCATATTTCCTGGTGTTAATTGATATTGAGCTACCTTTAGGAGTGAAGAAGCTAAATTAAAAGATTATGATTCATATGCAGATTTTTATATCCACTAAACTAGGTTCTGCAGTGATGCAATTAAATCAGTAAGAAGTTGTCATTTATGTGCAATAGCAGTTTGAAAGAAAAGGCAGGATTCAAACAGAATAAAATAAATCTATTCAAGGAGTATTTATCATGTAAAATTCTTCTTTAAATCTTTCCCACAAGCCATTCTGATGCAGAATATATATTTCAAATTAAAAATATAAATAGTTTAAAGTATCTAAGATCTCAATTCTGCAAATCTGCGTCTCACAGCAGAAGCCAGTTCCACTTCTCCCACATCAGCCAGCCCCTCAACAACCTTTTGCCTAACCCTGATGTAGGGTATAAACCCTCTCTTTGTCATCCCCATGACCACCTTTCCAGCTAAAATATACTCACGGCAGTCCAGACAACCCTCAACGAGGAGCTCATAGCTCTCAAATCCAACATTGTGGCTCTCCTTCTCCAAGAGCTCAATGATCTCAACTGCTCTCCTTATCTCTCGGTTTGCTCGTAATGCAGCCACTACATTGATAATTGTTCCTTGTCTTGGTGTCAATTTAACTTTTACTACCATTTCTTTCAGTAATTCCACTGCCTCGCGTGTCCGTCTAACTGCTGTTGATGCACCAATTAAAGTGCCGTAACTCTCCAAGTCAGGAATGCATCCTGCCCCTCCCATAGCCTTCAAAACTTGAGAAGCCTCTGCTAACTCATCAATGGCACAAAGGGAGGATATAAGATAATTACATATGCTGCTGTCAGGCTCGTATCCAATTGATCGCATGTCCAGCAAGATATTAGCAACAGACTTAGACTGGCCACGCTGTTTTAGCCATGCAGAAGAGAGGAGTAGGTGGGTCTGTGGGGCAGGGACACAACCAGAGTGGAGAATCCGCTGGAGGACAGAAAGAGAGAGGGGAAGCGGTGAAGGGCTTTGAAGAGTGTAGAAAAGCAGAGAGGCATAGACAAGCTGGGGCCTTGAGCGAGGTCTGAGAGGGATTAAAGACTGCAATATCTCATCCACAACTTGTGTTGTGAAGTTAACAGGAAGGGTAGAGAGAAACGAGAAAGGACTGGGGTTTTGGCAAGCATCTCGCAAAGAAGGAAACAAATCTGGTAGTTTCTTATACAACTTTGATTCAACTGCAGCTTTAATGCTTTCTTGAAGGGTCTGTGATGGAGATATTGTGTGGATAGAAGAATATTGCCGCAAAAATTGATGGAATAGTAAGAACGCAGAAAAATTTGTTGTTCCAGTTTTCATGCTAGTAAGAATAAGAGGGTATTATTTTGTAGAACAGAACCGGATATCAAAGCATTCTTGTGAATGGTTCGCTGGAAACCTATAGATCATGGAAGAGAGATTAAATATTATGTACTGTCCTGGTTAAGGGATGATACAACACTCATGACAGGAAATTGCACACCAGCATTATGAAAATTTGGAGGCCATAATTTAGATGAAATGTAGAGGATAAACAATTCCATATTGAAATTTCAAAGATGATATAATTCCACTCAATTCCAGAATACATTCAACTTCCCTAATTGTCACCGTACACAGTCAGATAAGTGTCCGACTATTTTTTTTTTTTTTTTCCTTCTATAACTAGTAATAGGTTTTGAACTTAATCCTTATTTTATGGAAAACAAAAACAAAATTAAAGTTTTCGAAAGAATGATGTTTCTAGTCTAGCACAATAAAACCCATCTGTAACAGCAAATTTGCAGCGGCCGGAACACAAAGAAAGATAAACTCAGAATGTTGACGAAAAGATACAAATTTAGCATAAAGCGTGGTAAATTCTTACATCACAGGACAACATTCAAAATTCAGATATACAGAAGCAAGGAATCGAAGTTACTTCGAATGAAAACAATTGGTTCATTCAAACAAAATTTGAAATTTCTCAGAGTAATATATTCAATCAAGTGATGTGCAATATGATCAGAAGCCAGATAAATTCAGCGCGACGAAAAATTAAGAACAGAGAGCATACCCTCTTCGTTTTATAACGAAATAGATTGTGGGGAGCGTCGGATACGGACAAAGAGACAGTAAATGAAGACCATAGAAGGTAAACTCAGGGCTAGCACTTGCACTGGCAGGCGATGCGGACTAAAGGGTAATTTAGTTGAGGTTCGAGACACCGAATTGGTTCAATATTAACCCGGGGGCATGCAGGAGATTACCCGTAGAGGCCGCTCGCAGTTCTTGAGACTTCCATTAAATAAGTGGAGTTTCGCGGCTTTAGCCAGCTTATCGCCTTTTTCGCCGTGGCGCGGTGGCTAAGACCAGAAGGCTGTTCTTCCGCGGTTGCGTTCGCATTTCGCAAGCTGCGGGGACTTCTGGCAGAACGTGGGCCGAACAACCATTTTACGATCGATCGCACAAATTTTGACATAATTATCATAAGATTTGATCGAAAATTATTAATAAATTAATAATTTATATTAGATTAATTATTTAGTAATAGTTATGAATTTTCCTAACTCAAGCCTGGTTGAACCACATAAACTTTTTTGTTTGAGATGGTAGGTTTAAATTCTCGTGCTTCATGTTTGTTGTACTAAAAAGAAATATGTTTGCCATTTTTTTCTTTTTTAAAAGAAAATTCAATTTTAAATGTTAAACTTCGAATTAGTTTTTATCTTTTTTGAAACCCGAGAAAACGACACACCATTCGTTCAAATTGTATGCGAGAAACATACAATACGATGAGGTTAAGTAAAAACACAGACTAGTTTTTATCTTAAACTTTCCATTCAATCAAAATCAACTTAGCAATATAACAATCTTCCCAAGACTCTCTAAGTAAAAGTGATAGTAATTAGTTGTGCACAAAGTAAGCCTAATTTAGACATAGAATCGACCATTAATGTCTTCTAAAACTTTACGTCCCTAATATTGTATTTCTTTGAAGTTCTATCAAATTTTGTTGTAGACATATATTATAATTCATAGAATGCACGTATAAAATTAGTGAGAATATAATTTGTAAGGTTATTTATTGAAAGTTTATTGACAAGTAAAAGCCGTTAAAACTATGCTACTTATTCCAAATTCATGTCTAATTTGATGATTTGAAGTGTTACAAAAGTAAACAAAAATTAACACAATGAGACGGCTAAAATCCAAATGAAAAAAATCATAAGCTTACTAGATTCAAGATGTCACTTCACATTGATCCATACACATCTTCCTCCAAACAGGAGTCGTTGAAAAAGACAACATTTTGCCTACTTACTTTCTATAGTTCTAAATACTTCCCGAATGCAATTACAGAAAAAATACAGTAGAAAAAAGTTTGAAAATTTTACGAAAATAGCATAACCCAATTCAAATGTACTGTCAAATGAGATATTTTTTTTTTAATACAACTGGTGAAAATTAGGATGCTGCTGTTGCTGTACTTGCTGTTGGAGTGGCACAACCACGCTTGAAGTAATCTCTTTATCCTGCTGCAATCTGATGAGTTTCTCAGGGCTTTGCAAATTATAAGTAGAGGAATTACTGTAATGACTGGAATCAATAATGGCACTAAGATTATCATGAAGGTAATTAAACAAATTGCTACTATTAACTCCTCCATTGATATTAATTCCCATTATCCCATTCCCATTATTATTAGTGGAATTAGTGCCATTGTTCCACCCCCCAAAACACGGCATTATTGGTTTATAACCCGCAAATGGGTTTTGGCCTTGGCTTTGATTTTGAGACAATAATTTACACACTTTAAGCTCTTCCAAAACCCTTCTGTATTCTCCATAGGGCCCCAAAACGGGGTCGTTTTGCCTGCACACGGCTTCCCATATTAGAGAATCCACAGCCTTTCTCCGGTCTTCTTCTCTCACGTTCTTCACCATTTTGGTCACGTTGCTGACTCCAAACACCTTGTGGACCGCTTGGAATTCCCGGTTCCGGTCGGCCGGGAAGTACGGCGCCAGCGGGCACGTGTCGTGGCACTTCTTCCTCTGGTGCTTGCAGGCCGCGCACGCGGCGGCCGGCTGCAGAGCGGCGTTGTTGTGCCTTTGCATTTTTGGGCTGAGGAAGAAAATGAGAGAGAGTTGGTGTTGATTTTATGGGGTGGAATAATTGAACATGGATGTGCATGGGGAAAATTATGGTGCAGGGTAGGAGGAGTAATATTATTGTATATTTATATTATAAATTGGGGTTTGGGATTATTGAAAGAAAGTTTTTTTTTTTATTATTAAATTCATAATATGGTGAAGTTGTTAATGCATGGTTGATGGAAATTAAAAGGGAGTGTGTGGTTTTAATAATGAATAAACAAGAGGAGAAGGAGAACCAAATTGGTTTGTGAAATGAAAAGATGCATGGCTATGGCTAAGTTTATATGGTGAAAAAACCAATGGCCTATTCTTAATTATGTTTAAATTAGGGTAATTTTTAGGTAGCTCATTGGAAGGATAAGAAAGTTCTATCTTCATCTAATCTAATATTCTAATATATGTATTAGGTGATAACTTTGTGAAATTAATATATAACAAAGGATTTTATTTTTATTTTTTTACTTCAATAATATGTAGGTGGAGATAAGAATTTGAACTTTGATTTTTGGTTGAGCATATATATTTTAGCCAATTGAATTATAGTTAAATTGACTATATATTATATTTGAAATAGAAAACAACAATTACGTTTTTTCTACCATGTCTTTTTTTATTCCAATTATCTTTAAAAGCTCACGACAATAAAAATATTGTTTAAAAAATGGAGGGGAAGAATCATTAACGAATAAGAAATTATAATTCCCTAATTTTACATTAAACTAGAGCTTTATGGTATTAGAGATCTTGGTCTTTTGAAAACATTAATAAGTCACTCTTATTTATTGAGTTATACATGGATTGGCACAACATCTATATACACGTGCACCCTCTATCACTATAGATTATTAAGTATGGTGATGGTCTTCCTCTAATTTTGTAAATGATCTTAATAGTATGAGACATTATTTAAGACTCTCCATCTTGTCTCCTCTAATTTTGTAAATGATCTTTATAGTATGAGACATTACTTAAGAGATAACTATCTCTTGTTAACTATTTAAAACCTTTTGGTATCTATTTATATTATTATTATTATTAATGAGATGTTCATATAGATGATGAGAGTACTTATGAATCATCCGTGCGCTCCTAGATTTCTCCCAATTTTAAATTTCTGGATTGTTGGTCCATGTTATTACAACAATCTCCCACAAAAAGATTGAGCTTATTGGTAATTTGCTACTAGGATATTAGGTGTGATCGTAACAAAGCCAATCTCGGAAATCAAATTCCTAGTATATAAGCCTTTTGAGAGGAATGGATCACTTTGCATTGCGCAAATGTGACTCGCCCCAATCGAGCTTCGAATTTTCTTCTCCATTGTCGAAATCTGGGTTCTAGCGCCTTGTTGTACCAATAAGTTGTTTTAGAATTTTTTATGACCATAGGTGTAGTATTGCAGCATTGAACCGAGGTATTGAGGTGTTATTTTCACCTTTGCAGGCTGAGCTTCTTGCAATTCGTGATGTATTTGTAGCATTGCAGAACAAATTAATTTTCCTTGCATAAAAATTTTCTTTGATTTCTCTCATGCATTTAATATTCTTATGGAAGAGAGGAATCGCTTATGAAAGAATATTATTGAGTGTTAGAGAATATTATTAAGGGTTGGATATCCATCATTTAGCTTCTTATTTCCATCCCATCTCTTTTAAGCAAACATTATAACAAAAACGTTGTTAATACTTTGTCTTCTTATTTATGGTTGCACTATAATTTTCTCATTATTACCTGTCATGTTTGAAGATGAAAGACTTACGAATGTAGCTAATTTGAGAAAATCTTTATTATTTAATTGATGCGATTTTTACGTTGAAAAGAAAAAAGTGCTTATAAGGTTTTATCAACTTAGTTGAAATTGATAATTTTTAGAGGCACCTATGACCATCTATATGGTAAATGGTTGGATCGTGGTTGAACTAAATATATATCCAACAAGAAGATGATATAATGTATTGTTTTCACACATGACAACGACCACACACACGCAAAAAGATAACTACACGCTTGGAATCAAGGACATGACTATAATAATTGCAGAAATCATATATTTGAATGTTAGAACGGCCCCATTTCCATCATAGTATCAAACTCAAATCACAACCGTCCAATCACTATGAATCCTCTTTAGATTGATTCCCTCCCAAAAGCAGTGGCTGAATCATGATCAAGTTGTGAAATTTGATTGGTTCAATCAAAAGAGTGCACCATAAGACTGATGGCATCAGGCTGTAAATTAAATGGGTTTGTGTGTCACAAAAGTTTGCTTTAATTAAAATGCAAATTATTGGACCCCAATTAACAAACTTTGTTGAATATACATTAATGGAAATGACAATTTGCATATGTGTTTATCTCTAGCTACCAACATCAACACCAACACCCACCCATCAACCCTACTTTCATTCCACATTACCTATGATTTCCCCCCTGATTAATTAATGATTATATGGCTGAAAATTACAGTTTCTTAATAACTTTCATTTGTGATCTAAGTTTTAACCCTAGCTAGTTTTTTAATTTTCTCTCCATGATAGTATCTTCTCTCACATGGATGGAATGAAAGGAAATAATAATAATAATAGTTTTTTTTCTTTTTTTACAACATATGGAGGTGAGAATCGAACTTATAATCTCTTGAGAAAAAAAATTTAAGATCATGAACTTAAAATTTCATGGTAGCAGTCTTCATTTAAAATAGATTCGATTTTTTTTTAATAACATATAATGTTAGGCTTGATTATCAATCTCCTTCCAAGATTATTGATTGATGGTAAGAATCACCTACTAACCACTATTAAATTTTTAACAAATAGAAGTATGTGTGTGTGTGTATATATATATATATATATATAAGTATTGTTTTTTTTATTATTTTTTTTAATACAACAATGGGTGGGGTGGAGATTAGAACTCACCATCTTTTGATAAAAATAAGTGTCTTAATGTTAAGTTAAACTTATTTATTAATTGTTTTTTTATATTAATCTAAAACTATGGTTATTGATTAACATCCCTTTATTTTATAAATTCAACTTTATGTTACTTTTTTATGAACTTTAACTCAGATTTTGAGAGTACCGTTTTGAAAGTAAAATAAAAACTATATAAAAATTTGGCAATAAACTAGCTTTATGTTTTAAAACCTAAACTATTAATAAAATCTGTACTAAAATGAGCCATCATTCTTTTGATTTTCCATTACTTTAACCGCACTTTTGACATCCAAGTAAAGAAATTTAATGAATAAAAAAATATTTTTTTTTTTTTAGTTTTTAAAATGTGGCTAGAGTTTTGGAAACGAAAGTAAATTAAACTACAAAAGTTAAAAGAAGAAAGAAAAGTAGAGAAATATAACTTTTAAAAACTGAAAACCAAAATTAAAATGGTTAGAATTCAAAGTTTCAAGGCTCAATTTGCTTATATTTTTTTTGTTATTAAAAAAAAGTTAATTAATAATAAATCTCTTTTTTTTCCTTTGCTTTATATCTTTAATTCAAAGAAATTTGAATCTCAGCTAAATTTCCTACAATTAAAAACAAAACTAGTTTGGAAAACTCTACTTTATACTTAATAAATAAACATATATAAAAAAGTAAGGAAACAAAATAGCAAGCAAGCAATTTAAATTTTTATAAATATAAAAATAATTAGCAAATGAGACACATGATGATTTGTCAATATTTCATCACAATTACAGAGTCACCAATCTTCTACAGATATGATTCAAGACATGGTACAATACATCCTTATAATAAAAATTTAGTTAGAGACACAACCTTAAAATTTTAAATATATCACCTTCATTTTTACAATTATGCAAGAAGAAATTGCACTACATAGCATAAATTTCATATATGTTTTAAAAAATATCACAAATTTTCATTTTCATTTTCTTTTTTCAACCACAACACCACACTAAATTTTCATATGATATTTTACTCTACATTTAACTTTGATTTGAATTATGTATTTATTAAATCATTAAAAATAATTTTCAAAACAGAAAATTTTCGAGATCATCTCTAGATGGCATATGGACCTTCCAAGTTCCAAGCTTAAAGTTATAATTTTTATTTTATTTTTGGTGTAATTAAGCAAATACTTTAGTGTGGTAATTGAATTCTCATCATTTTAATCTCTCCTCGTCCCTCCCTTGTCTAACACTTAACCAACTAACACTCTCACCCAACCCAACAACGCCTTCAATTTCAATTTGGCTGTTTTCTTCTTTGGGGTTTTTGGCCGTCCGCTTAAAGAAACAGAAAGCTTTTGGCAGCAATCAATGGTAAAGTCCAAAAGGGAAAAAATTAACGCACACCCACAAACGCAAAGTGGAAGAAGCTGGAGCCAGACTCCCAGTTTGTTCACATTATTAAATGCCCTTCTCACCCCCCCTCCATTTCTATTCAAATTTCAAACCCAAACCCCACTTCTTCTTCCCTTTTTCTCTCTGCCTCCATACCCTCCTTCCAATTTCAGTTGCTCTTCTTTTACCAATGGAGTCTGGGAAAGCAAAATCAGAGATGTGGGTAATTTTCTGAGAGATTGCAGCAATCGGGCCAAGGGTGGAGGATAAAGAGTAAAGCGTTTCAAAGATGAGTACGGCTCGATTCATCAAGTGCGTCACCGTTGGAGATGGGGCTGTGGGGAAAACTTGCATGCTCATCTCCTACACCAGCAACACATTCCCTACTGTAAGTTTTGGTGTTGTTTTTCTTCTTCATTTTTCGTTGCAGATGGAAGTTGAATTTCGGAGCCTAATTCGACCTCTTCGTTCTGCTGGAAATTCCTTCCTGTAGGACTACGTGCCCACGGTTTTTGATAATTTCAGTGCTAATGTGGTGGTCGACGGCAGCACTGTGAACTTGGGGCTTTGGGACACTGCCGGTGAGAAACTTGACTCTTTTCTCAACTTTTGGATTTGGGTTTCTGTTAGTGAGGACTGTTCGTTGGCTAGGCATTGAGAATTTGGGAATTTCAGTGAATAAAAATTAAGGCAGATTGGTTAATTTCAGTGAATAAAGATAAGCAAACACTTAATTGTTGAGTTGGGGTTATTTTGTAAATGCAGGGCAGGAAGATTACAACAGGCTGAGGCCTCTGAGTTATAGAGGTGCTGATGTGTTTCTGTTGGCCTTTTCTCTAATCAGCAAAGCTAGCTATGAAAATATATCTAAGAAGGTTCATTATTATCATCTGCTGTTTCTCTCTTTCTGTTTTACTGACTTCCAGCTTTTAGAATATCAGGCTCCTAATTTGGTTTCCCAATTCACAGTGGATCCCGGAGCTGCGGCATTACGCCCCGACCGTGCCTATTGTTCTTGTGGGAACCAAACTTGGTAATGACAATTATGTTCAAACACATCAGGGAGAAGAAGATAAACTTGATGGGTTATTTGATGTTTAAAATGGTACTTGTTTGCAGATTTGAGGGATGACAAGCAATTTCTGACTAGCCATCCCGGTGCTACACCGATCACGACTGCGCAGGTATTGCTCGAAAAATTAACCACTTCTAGTTAAGAATTATGGTTTCTAAATTRATGGATCTAATGGGAGAGGGAAATTGTTGATGGCCTTATATGACAGGGTGAAGAACTGAAGAAAGCAATTGGTGCTGCTGTTTACATAGAATGCAGCTCCAAAACTCAGCAGGTAATTATTGAAAGAAAGCAAATATCTGATTTGAAGATGTGTTCAGTTAACAATGTGTCTAATTGTTTACACTCCAGTAAATAGTTATAGGCTAACCTTCAGCTTAAAGACTAAGGCTCTGTAAGTAGCCTAACCAGAGTTGGCTGTTGACACATTTGATCGATTGGTCTGATTTGCAGAATGTAAAGGCTGTGTTTGATGCTGCCATTAAGGCCGTTCTGCAGCCACCGAAACCGAAGAGAAATCGACGAAAGGCCCGAAAATGTGTTTTTCTTTGAGTTGGGGTTTCATGGGCAGATTGTTTCTCTTTCTCCTGTGGCAGACTTGGCCCCTTCTTCTTCCAATTAGTCATTCTGACCTTGCCCATTCTACTTGCTTTTTATATTAATCTTCTTGTTTAATATGAAAGTGCTGATGGTTTTATGCTTACAAAGCAATATATATATATATATATACGTATGAATTGTTCTTTGTGCAACAGATCTTCCTTTGAAAACTGGAAAAGAAAACAATTATCACTTTTGTTGCAAGGGAAAATGAAATATGCTACGAGCGACAATGGAAGCTTTTGATTTTGTTCAAATCTAATGATTCTTGATATAGATTAAGATATTTGAAAACTTAAATTTGACACCAGAAATAATGAGTGATATGATAATTTTATCTTAAACTTTTTGAGTTATAATAATTCAACCATCTTAATTCAGTATTAGCCACATATATTTTGATGTTCTTGATTACGATTTGATTTGAAATRATAGTGCAGAAAGAACCAAAGTTCTTCTTTTCAACTTAATTGATAACCATCTTAGCTAAAAATATAAAATAAGTATTGGTGAAAGGGTTGAATTTTTATGAAACTTATACTTTATAAATATTTTTATTTTTTTGGTTCATGAAGAGTTTTTATTATATAGTTGGGTGAAAAATGTTGATTTAATACACCAAATTGGTTGATGGGTCATGGTTGACCTTGTCAAAATGGCAAAATCACAATTACAACTTGCAAGGAATGTCTATTCAATTCCGCCAAGATTTACTTATTCCAAAAAATTGTTAAATAATGAATTAAAATAAAACGAACTCCGTCAAGATTTAACACATTCTAATTTCAACCGTCTCCGTTCACATTCTAATTGCGCAGACTCTTCTAATTCTCTGAAATTTCCTTTCGTGTTTGGGGAGAAAAAAATACCAAAATTTTGCCATTCAAATGTAATGGATTGATTTGAATGTTTTTCTGTAATTTAAAATTTAATTAGTTTTATATTGGAAAATATGATGATTTTAAGGTTTGATTCATCATTTATCGGTATTTGTTATTTCTTTTTAATGTTCTGATAATTCAAAGTAGGCAGGATACGGAACAAATAAATACTTAATTAAAAACTTCAATGCACATTTGGAGAAAATTAAAACTTCTAATAGATTATATGGATATAAACTTTAAAAATGGTTCACATCTTTTTTCTTATTGATAGGAGGGTACATGTAGCTTCTTATCTATAATATCTTGAAATTATGATAGAATTAGAGGGAGTGCAAATAATCTTTATTTTTCTCTTTATATTCTAGTTCAACCGTGCAGATATCTTAATTAATGTTGGAAATGCGGCCAAAGYCATTAACTAAATAGAGAGAAAATCAAGTACCATTCTCTTAACAATTAATTTAGCCATAAATTTGAATGGGGAAATATTAAATTACGCCCAAATTGGGCGATGAAGGTTCAGAAATGACACACGACACATAGATTATAGAATTGGCAGTTGTATTATTATGGAAAGGAAATGTATTGACTTACGGATTAGGTATAGGGGTGGGGAAAAAACGAAAAATGAAATTAAAAAAAGAAATATTAAAGGAAAGGAAAAAGAGAGAAAGAGGAGGAATGGGTCTTTCCAAAAATAAGAATAAAAAAAAGAAAACTTGAGTTAACTATTATTGAAAAAGCCAAACATTTGGAACCTACGATCCATCTGATTGGTAGGCAGAAACAATTGACATGTTTTTAGCAAAACCAAAAGAAAAAAAAAGCACAAAGCAAGAAGAAGAAGAAACAAAACGAGGAATAGGATACGGTTTTTGAATTGTCTCTCCTCTCCTCTCCGGCAGCCTCTCCTGTGTCTCTCTCCTCCCTGAGACTGTCGGGATCTCGATCTCACATTTTGATTTTGATTTTGATTATATTAATTTGTAATAATCCAGATCCCATATTCTCCATCGATAATGGGCGCGTACAGAGCGGACGACGATTACGATTACCTGTTCAAGGTGGTCCTGATCGGCGACTCCGGCGTGGGAAAGTCGAATCTGCTGTCCCGTTTCACCCGAAACGAATTCAGCCTGGAGACGAAATCGACGATCGGCGTGGAGTTCGCGACGCGGAGCATTCGCGTGGACGACAAGATCGTGAAGGCCCAGATTTGGGACACGGCGGGGCAAGAAAGGTAAGGGGATTCCGCGGGGGATTGGGGATTGGTAATTTGAGGATTTGAAATTGAGATGGGATTTTTGGGGGACTTGGCAGGTACAGGGCCATAACGAGCGCTTACTACAGGGGGGCGGTGGGGGCGCTGATAGTGTACGACGTGACGCGGCACGTGACGTTCGAGAACGTGGAGAGGTGGCTGAAGGAGCTGCGGGGGCACACGGATCAGAACATAGTGATAATGCTGGTGGGGAACAAGGCGGACTTGCGGCACCTGAGGGCGGTGTCGACGGAGGACGCGCAGGCATTTGCGGAGAGGGAGAGGACGTATTTCATGGAAACCTCGGCGCTGGAATCCTTCAACGTCGAGAATTCCTTCACGGAAGTGCTCACGCAGACCTACCGAGTGGTGAGCAGGAAGATTCTGGACATCGGAGAAGACCCCACCGTCCTCCCCAAGGGACACACCATTGACATCGGATCCAAGGACGATGTCTCCGCCGTCAAGAAGGCCGGTTGCTGTTCTTCATAACTACTACTAATCCTATCCACACCCACCATCGCCATCGCCTCTCTCAAATTTCATTTCACACTTTTTCTTTTCTTTTCTTTTGTGTCGTTGCGCTTTCCTTTTCTTTTTTTTGCTTGTTGGGGAAATTTATTGATGTTCCTTGGAGTGGCATGCCCGTGCAATTCTTCTAGTGCTCTTTTTACTAGGTAGGCTGTACCTATATATCAATTTTATCAAATCCTTAGAACAACAAAATCAAAATGGGAGGAAATGGAAATGTACCAATATATAATATTTTTCAATTTTCATTATTTATTATTCAATCATAAACCTATTGCATATATATAATTTATCTCATGCATCCTGCTGTGTGTTTCCTCTTTCTTTCAACCTTTGTTTTTATGGTTCCAGGAGATCAGTCACGGAATGCCCAAATAAACATTTGTTACATATGATTTTATTGCTCACCTCTTTTTTTCCTATGAGAGTTTGAATCTTTAAAAGAATTAGTAGATTTTATTTGCTAAGTTGATGTTGGCATTTTGATCCCGTACTAAATACAAAAGATGGAAATGTTATCAAATAGGTACTAAATTTCATTCTCTTTTGGTGGAGCATTTGCCTTCTTCTATTAGGTGAGAATTTTTTCTTTTTTTTTGACAAAATAACATTAGTCTTTATTAGATTATAGGTTAAGCAAAAGTTTTAGTTATGAATTTGTAAGCTTTGTATCTAATGGATTCCTCAAATTYAAAAGTATTTAATATGTTTTTAAATTTTAAATTTTGTGTTTAATCGCCCTTAAATTTTAAAATGTCTCTAATTTTAATTTTGTATCTMATAGAACTCCAACCTTTTAATTTCGTACCTAATTAGTTCTTTTAAAAAAATGTCTAATRAATTAGAAACTTAGTTGACACAAAATTGAAATTTCAAAGACTCAATGAAACCGTAAAATTGAAAAATTGAAAGTCACAATTAAAGTTCTGAAACCTATTAGAGATGAAATWAAAAATTCAAAGACTGTACATCAGACAAAATTGAAAGGTTCTAGAGTTTTAGTGGACACTTTTAAAATTTTCAAAGACCTATTAAACTTGAAATTAAAATTATAAAGATTTATTAGATACAAAATTTAAAGTTTAAATATATAATATAGAGTTTACTTAAATTGGGGAATTCAGTTTTAGAAATCTAAAACTAAACTTATAATTTAATCTATATTATATATGCAGCACGCCTGAACCTCGACGAGCTTTCTTTATTTAACGATACACGATCCAGAGTTCATCTCAAAACTATTGCCACACAGATTCAATGTACGATTTCGTTTGGTGGCACGCATTTCAGATCAATGGTTGTACTTTTTTATTGACAATCGAATGGTTGAGATTCATTGAAGAAATATCTTTGATGTGGAGCCCATATGAAAATCTTGGTTGGCCGGATTTGATGCCCCAAAAGCAAAATTGTGTTTCCTCGATAGCAAGAATAAAGATAAAACATATTGAGTTCTTAATCTACATAATTAACGACAAATTTCTTAGTAAAATATATTTTTGGTACTAAGATTTATACTTGATTTTTATTTGATTCTTGAGTTTTAAAAACCATAATTTTTTTTCTCTAACTTTTAAATTTAGTTTCATTTTTTGAAGTTTAAAAAGTAACCGTTTTTAATAGGTCCACAAGATTCGAATTATTAGTTCCTAATAGCTAAGTGTCTGAACTAGTTGATCCTCTAACAGAATAATGAACAATAACTAAGATTGTTATTATTATTATTTTAGAAAAGCAATACCTAACATTTGTTGATTATACGATGTATATATTTTATTATTCTATCTTTTACCTAAGTGATATTTTACTCTCATCTCCTTCTCCCATCACTTCTCTTTTCCTTTCTTTCTTCCACCCTTCCCAAGTTCCAACACCACCACAACCCTTCTTATTTGTTCATCTCTAGTTTAACATTCAAATTAACTAGGTCTATCAAAGGCGCAACAATCTTGGTTGGATTGTTCATAATTTGCAAGATGAATCAAGTTTAGCAAGTAGTCGTCTGATCGTTCAAAAGCAAGACATCAAAATCATTGAAGCTATGATCGACCATCTGCAAAGGATATCAATCAATTAAAATGGAGAAGAATATATGTCAATTTTTTTTAGAATTAGATTGCGTACATGTCATAAATCTCTTGAATGATAAAGAAGCTGACCTTATAGAGATCCATTGGGTTATTGAAGAAATTGTTATGCTCGGTTAACAAGGTCTAATTTACAATGCAAATTAGTAAGGCTTGTCGGCAACCAACTAGATTCATTAACATTCGTATTTAGTCATTTGAGAGATCTCTCATTGTTCAGTCAACATATTAACTGCTACTTCATCCCTTCAGATCAATTAATAATCAACTCAACTCATTAATTAATTAGAGATCAAATTCAATCTTTAATGACCAATTAAAAACTAAATTCAAATTTCATGACAAAACATGTCATTTTTTAAACTAATGATCAAATAGAAATTAAATTTAAATCTCAAGGACCAAAAGCGATGATTTTCTAACTTGTTCACAGATATTCTTTATTTCCATGGACAACCGCTTTCTTTACCCTCTTATATTTATGAGTTTGTCCATGGATTTTGTATCATACCTCTCTTCTTTTCTATAAATTGTTTTCAAATTAAATTTTATTAAAATTAATTAATTTAAATTAGTTAAAATATTTAAATTAAATTTGTAATTAATAAAACAACATTAAAATTTTACTAATAATGTACTAACTTAATTATTCTATTTTAATAAATTAATTTATTAATGTATATACTTAATTTTTTCTTATAAAAATGTAATAAATTGGTACAATAAAATGGATAAAAGTGATTAGTTTTTTTAAACACATTTCTTTTATTATAATTATTTAAGATTGATTGTTAAATAAAATCAATAACATAAATTTAGATTTATTATTTATAATATATTTACCTTGGAGTCAAACTTAATTTAAAATATAATTACTTAAAATGATTTTAAATATTTTCACTTAATAAAGATAAATTAACCAATGTAAATTAATTATTAAAAAATAATTTTAAAAGCTTTATACACATATATAATTTTGCTATATATATATATATTAAATCAACAATCTAAACTTAGATATATTATTTATAATATATTTACCCATGAGTAAAACTTGGATTAAAACATGGTATGCTCAAGTTTACATCAATTACTTCCTAAAAAAAATTACTTCCTCATTAAATTTTGAAAGCTTTTTTCAACCTACTCCCAAGTCCTACCTACCCATATTGTCATAACAACAATATTTAAGAAAGGCGCAGAGTCTATAAAACAATTTAGTATATTAATTAAAATATGTAAAAAATGGAAAGAGCATTTACGTCAGTAGTAACTAGTAATTGAAAATTTATAATTTTCTGTAAAAAATTTCTAATTATAGGATGCCACGTCATTTAATAGAAGCAGAGTTCATTATTACACGTATGTCGAGAAAAAAAACCTTATCTGATTAACTAAACAAATATATATATATTTATTGGTTGACTACTGCCACTGCGAGGATCCGAAGAATACGATTTTCCTTTTTGCGAAACGACGCCATTTTGTACCTCCTCCGCACCCCATGCGCTCGCAGGCTGGACCTTGCAAGTAGGCCCCATCTTTTTGATTAATTTCTAAACAAATGAGAATGACCACGTGACTGCACCACTCGCCACCGCTTTTATGAACCGGCGCGTAGCCCATACTCTCTCCTGCATCCCCATTCCCAATGGCGTTCGATGGTTGATCTGTTGTAAATGTAATGCGATAGCACCATTGACACAAACGTTAGTTGATTTTCGCCATTTTTCGATTCTTTCTGTCTCTGTAATGGACCGCGCTTCCTGGAGAACCCTGGTGCTTTCCAACCATCTTCTACAGCATCAATCGTCTTCAACCCTTACCCCCAATCCATGTCTCCAATTCTCCCCGCCAGAGCTGTCCGAATGCTTCTCCTTCGACATCAAACAGATGCGGAACCTCTTGGACGCTCACAATCTTCCCGACCGGGACTGGGTCTTCGGCTTGATGGTGCAGAGCAAGCTGTTCAATCCTGTTCAATCCGCTGGCAGAGTCTTCGTTTCGCCTGATTATAACCAGTCCATGGAGCAGCAGAGGGAGATGACCATGAAACGAATTCAGTATCTGTTGGATAATGGCGTTTTTAGAGGCTGGCTTACTGATAATGGAATTGAAGATGCGTGGAGGAAGTTTGCCGTGTTTGAGGCAATTGGGATTTATGATCACTCTCTAGCTATTAAACTTGGAGTTCATATCTTCCTATGGTACGTTGCCATATATGTGATCAGAGTCGGACTGAATATGTTTTTCATTCTTGCTAAGATCTCAAGATCCTTGTTTAATGCTCTGTCAAATCCTAATTCCAGTTCGTGTCCAATTATGTCATACTGGTTACCCTTTTCTCTTGTGCTAAAATTTATAGTTCTATTGAAATTCATTGCTGCAACTCTTTCTTCTCATGTATTTCATTTGCAGGGGTGGAGCTATACAATTCTTTGGCACAAAGCGTCATCATGACAAATGGTTAAGGGACACGGAAAATTATGCGATCAAGGGTTGCTTCGCAATGTCCGAGCTCGGTCATGGAAGTAATGTATGTGAAGATTGTTCCATAATATACGTTAAGTCGCTTGGCGTTTTTTTTTGTTTTCTAATTCTCCTTTTAAATTAGCAACAGTAACTTCATACGTAAAAAGATTTAGGTTCAAGGAATTGAAGCAGTGACTGATTCTGTTTTCTAATTCTCCTTTTAAGTTAGCAACAGTAACTTCATATGTAAAAAAATTTTGGTTCGAGGAATTGAAACAGCGACTACATATGATTCTGTTTTCTAATTCTCCTTTTAAGTTAACAACAGTAACTTCATATGTATAAAAATTTAGGTTCGAGGAATTGAAACGGTGACTACATATGATTCAAGCTCTGGAGAATTTGTTATTAATACTCCCTGTGAGTCAGCTCAGAAGTACTGGATTGGCGGGGCAGCCAAGGTAAAAGAAATGTTTTAGCCTCTAATTTCTCAATCATTGTTATCTCGTGAGCCAATGAAATTCTGTTTCAGCCTCGCCTTTCCTGATATGTTCTTCAATTAATCTTTAGCATGCAACACATGCTATAGTCTTTTCGCAGCTCGACATAAATGGGAAACGTGAAGGTGTCCATGCTTTTATAGCCCAGATCAGGGATGCGGATGGTAATGTCTGTCCATACATACGTATAGCGGATTGTGGCCATAAACTTGGTTTGAATGGTGTTGATAATGGTCGGATCTGGTAAGTACCTTATACTTTTGATTGATTATAATATAGGTTTTGTTCAATTACTGGAAAAATCAAATTCTGTTCTACAATTAGCAGATTGATAAATGCTTCAGGTTTGATAATTTGAGAATCCCAAGAGAGAATTTGTTGAATTCAGTAGCTGATGTATCACCAGAAGGGAAATATCTGAGTGCCACAGAAGACCCAGACAAGGTCAATTTTCCTGATTATTTTGTGTGCATGTATATATGTATGTGTTTGTGTGCATGTATATATGTATAAATGTATGTAATTTTCCCTTGTGACAGAAATATACCTTAATTTTGATACCATTAGTTGAAATAGTTCTGTGTAGATGATTCTTTTACTACATTGTTTCAGAGGTTTGCGGCATTTATGGCACCTTTGACATCTGGTCGTGTAACCATTTCAGTTGCTGCAATCTATTCTGCAAAGGTTGTTACTTGCTTATGGATAACCTTTCATTTGTCGATTTTGTTGGATCTGGAACTGCATATAACTCCTCTAGATTTTATAGACGTTCCGTTTACTCATAAATATCACATCACTTTGTTGCCAGGTTGGTTTAGCAATTGCTATAAGATACTCATTAACAAGGAGAGCCTTCTCACTTACACCAAATGGGCCTGAAATCCAATTACTAGACTACCCTAGCCACCAAAAGCGATTGTTGCCTCTCCTTGCCAAGACGTAAGTCTTTAAAACTCTAGTTCTGTTGTATCTGTAATCTTATTCTTCGTAACATCTGTTAAGTTTCTTTTTTTTTTTTTTCCTTCTTTTGGTTTTAGTGGAGGGTAAGTTTACTTGACTTCATCTTTTCCATACATGATTTGAATAGTCAGTCTCGGGCTTGGAGTGAATGCTCCATGTTTTGAACATCTACTAGACATTGAAACCATGGACTGAAACATTCATGTGCTTGTTGTAGCTTCTATTCCATTTGGAGAGAAGTTAGAAAATGTGTTGTTACTAATTTTTTGAATACCAAATATGATTCTGTTATATACTGGTGGACTCTAGGAAATTGCTAGCATATGAATAGTTTACCTATTTTGCAGTTAAAAGTATTCATGATTTAGTGCCTGAATGTATAGGTCTAATCCCCTCGGTAGCAACCATTTTGCAATTAGGCAAGCATCTTAGTTGCTTTGTTGACATGAGGATGTGAATGATGTTACTTGTGCAGATATGCAATGACTTTTGCTGGAAATGAATTGAAAAGGATCTATTTGAAGAGAACACCTGAATCCATCAAAACAATCCATGTTGTTTCAAGTGCATTTAAGGCAACCTTTACCTGGCATAATATGAGAACACTTCAGGTCAGGATTTGCATTTGTTATTGCCTTTGGATATCCAAAAGGTAGAGGATATTGATATCACATTTTATTATTTGTGTACAAGGAATGTCGTGAAGCATGCGGCGGCCAAGGCCTGAAGACTGAAAATCGAGTCGGCCATTTGCAGAGTGAATTTGATGTTCAGTCTACCTTTGAAGGTGACAATAATGTCCTAATGCAGCAGGTAAGTAGCTTACATCACATTACTTGCAATCCAAACAAAAATGTCAGCATTAAGAATATTCAGAAAGTTCAGTGTTGAAGCTCTACTGACTGTAGATACAGCAGACATAAATCATCAAGATTTTATTCAAGTTGTCTACTTAAACCTGTGGGATTAGGAGGTTGGGTTACTAATTTCAGGTGAGCAAGGCACTCCTTGCTGAGTACATAGCAGCTAAGAAAAGAAACAAGCCATTTAAAGGGTTGGGATTAGAACACATGAATGAGGCTTGCCCTGTCATTCCTTCGAAGCTTACGGGTCCTACCCTTCGGAGCTGTCAATTCCAGGTAACATTATCATTATTTTCCCTGATTAGTGAAATCAAATTTTAAAACTTTTTATTTTTGCAACTTGTCCCGCACCAGACTGATGCCTTTTGCTTAAGAGAGCGAGATCTATTAAATCGTTTAGCCGCTGAAGTATCTCAATATGAAGCACGGGGTGATAGCAAAGAATATGCCTTCATTCAGGTGAGATTCTTTGCTTCTTATTTACTGGCTTGCCATGAATTTATCTTTAATTATTCGACCCTCTAATCTTCGTTATCCTTTCTGGTGTTCTAGAGCTTTCTGCTTGCGGAAGACTTGGGTAGAGCTTTCTCTGAAAGAGCCATATTGCAATCTTTTATCGACGTTGAAGATAGTCTACCTTCCGGTACAATAAAGGTAAAATTTAGTTATTGTTTCACTCATTCTCCATTTTCACTGCATATTTATCTGCATGCTTTTTCATACCCAAAAACAAGAATCTGGTTAAATTCTCTCTCGATTTATACTTTCTACGATGGGTATGTGTATACTTAGCAGGAGGTTAATCAAGTTGCCTAATATAAACATATATATGGTTTCTCCAACAGAATGTTTTAGGTCTTCTGAGATCCATGTATGCCTTGATCTGCTTGGAGGAAGATGCTTCCTTCCTCCGGTATGGTTATTTATCATCAGAAAATGTAGCTGCCGTAAGGCAGGAAGTGAAGAAATTATGCAGCGAAATACGACCTCATGCTCTAGCACTGGTCAGCTCCTTCGGCATACCCGACGCTTTCCTGGCCCCTATAGCATATAACTGGGTGGATTCCAATTCTTGGTCTTCAGTGCAGCAAAAGGAAGGCGCCATTGCAGTTGGCCGTTCATGATAAGCATTCTCCATATTGTATCATTTGCTCAAACTAGGAGCACTTGGTAAGGGGGTTTACATATACAGCCGATTCAGATGGGGATTTCCAAACATTGCAAATTGTAATTTTACTTTTTAAAGCCAACTCACTTTCCCTTGAATAAGGCTTACATTACCAGTTTATTCTCTCCATTATTCATAATTTAGCTTATTTAGATAGGGCAAGACATTGTATTGGCCAACATTGCTGCAAAGAGAGAGACTGGAGAGTGGGAAAGCATAATATTTTCATCCACATCAATTCTTATGTAAATTATGTTTACAATTCAAGGAATCAGAAAAAACAGGCCATGCAAAATGCTATCAGTGTTTCTGATGTGCAAATAATGCAAACAGCTAAAGCATGAAATGTCGACTGATATACAATTTTAGCGACTTACAGTTACCATTCAGACTCTCGGACTATTAAACACAAACATATACATCGCTCCTATAACTTGGAAACAGGTATTCCCCTGCATATTGAATGAAACTCCAAAGAACCCCTCTAGAATAACCAGCATTCAGAATCTCCCCTTATACAAAAAAAAGGGGGTTGAAATGCCATGGATCACCAGACAATGAGTCGAATAATATATCAACATAAAGCAGCAACTTTGAGACTAAAACTGACTAATCATGCGAAGGAGAGGGAAAAAAAGAAACAGCTGCAGGAAAGACTCCTATGTGTGTCATTTTAAGAATCGGTTGATCAGTTAGTGTGCTGAGTACATTATGCATTTTTCCCAGGATTGTATACTGAAGTTGAAGGCGTGTTCTGATGATGCGGAGCGAGGTTTATATTTACAGTATCGGTCTTAATATTAGCCTTCGTTGTACCTTTAACTGATTGTCCAAGCTCAACAGGCCCCTCTGCAGTAAGCCTTCCCATCTTCTTCTGCAGATCAGCCAGAGGATCAGCTATCAGTTTCCCCTTCGGACTCTTCTTTGCATCAGCATGCTTGAGTTCCAGCCTATATAATGCAAATGAATCGTAATTGCTGATATCATATTCGTACAAATGCCATTCAAGAGAGCTTGATGGCTGTGGATCCATGTAATAGGACTTCTTCTGTCCACCGAATTCCTTCATCACCAGCTTCCTTGATTCATGCCAACCACGGCCTTTATAATCCGGCAATGACCTCTGCTTTCTATTGCCACTCTCAAAAGCCCGTCTAGGCTTGTCAAAATAGAGCCATTCCCTGATTGTTTCACCCTTGAGTAATGAAATATCAAAAAGCTCTGCAACAATGGGAAAGAACCACTATGATAGAACCATAGACCACGAGCCAATTTATCCAACTTTCTTTGGCAGAATAAAGAGAATACGCAATGGAAATGGGTAATAACAAGAAACAAAACAACAAATGAAAAATTACACCGGGAAATAGAAAAAAGTTATAAGCAACATAAAAGCTTACCAGGAGCATTCCATGGAGATTTCCTTGTTGCAGCACCATCACATATAGGTATTCCAACTTCTTTGGCTTGCGTCTTTGCACGAAGAGCAGTAAACAGTGGACCATCCTTTAAACCAATGCCCCCAGGGCGCAATACTGGAGTCATTCCTGGAAGGCCTTCATTTATTGCAAGAATAGAATGACAGCTACTGCAATAGTCCTGACACCATTTAGATCCTTCAGCAGGTCTGAAACAGTCCCAGAGAGCACATATTGGCCCCATAAAAGCAGATGGTGGGGGTGAGATATTTGGGAGAATGCTGGGCTTTGTGTCCTGGCTAAAGTCTCCAGCATCATACGTCCCAATAAGAACCCCATAGTCGAACTCTTCATGTGAATCCAATATATGGCAATCCAAGGTAGACGTATCATCCTTACCTGCCACTGTGTTGTGCTTAAAGTTTTGATATAATTTGAAATCTTGACAATTAGATTGAGTAGCTATGTCTGTGTCTGATTTGTAAAGTGAATAATTCTGTAGAAGAGGAGTAGAGACTTTGAACTCTTCAAATTCAGGAAAACTATGCTGTTGGAGCTCCTGAATAGCAAAACCATCAACCGTCTCAATGTTTATTTTAATTGTCTGAATATTCAAAAACTAAGACCATTCCAATGCTCCTTTTTGCCATGCATATTAGAATACAACATATATTATACATTATAGGGATGGCAGAACCAAATGCTCAAAGTCTCAAATAACAGACTTATATGTACCATGGTAAATTGGTAAATTCGATGTAAGCTCTAAGCCTCAAACCTCACAAGTAAAATTGTTGGATACTTGCATCACAAATGGAGAGCGAATAACAACTAAGCCAGACACTCGAAGATGCTGGTTTGTAGACATGGGTCCCAATGGAAACCAGCTAGTTTCAAGCAAATGGCTTAAAATAGGAAACATTAAACAATTGAGGTATCTGCAGCAGTCAATACAATTTCATTAAATGGTCAAGAAGCTGTGTTCAATTTTTCTAATCGGCTATACTACACTTTTCGGTTTCTTCTTAACATTATACAAGATACAACTATTTTCCTGGATTGGATCAAGAAGGATTCTACACCCACCAGCATGCAAAACAATATAAAGAAAGAACGATTTAAGAAATACATTGTATAGATTACAATACTGAAAGAACATATCAGGGTAGGGAGAAATTAGACCGAAGAGACCAGAAAATATCTGATTTAGCCAATGAAACATGGCATTCAACAAAAAGTATGGAAAAAACTGAGAGATAAAAGGGCCTACCTGCTGAAAATCAGATGGATTGCTGGCAAGAACACTATGGAGATCAGGCTCAGCCTTTGGTTCAGCCAATGTACTAGTTGCATCATCTTGCTCATCACATTGCTCTAGTAGACGGGCCAGATCTTGCGAGAATGATCCAAGACTGCCCTCCTAATTACATGCGTAGAACTAGAAACATTTAGATAACAAAATATACAGATGGAATAGAAAAACGCCCTTTGCAAAAAATTAAAGGAACCTACAACAAATGAAGAGGCAGGTGATGGTTCAGTGAGCTCAGCATTCCACTCCCGGAGCATCTGATGCACTTGCTCCTCAAGAACAGCAATGTCAGAAGTGCGACTCTCCTTCCTTGCAGATTGAAGGCTGGTGAATATCCCTTGAAGGTCATTAACTCGGTTCTTTGCTTTTTCCTTCAAAATCTGATGAGAAGTAGACTGGCATTTACTCTTCAAACCCTTCGGCATTGATCCCTCTCTTTTCCACCACCAAGATTACCTTTAGCAGAAACTGGAAGAAGAAAAGAAGAAATCACAAGATGACATTAAGGGTCTTCAAAACAAATATTGTTTTGATATTGCCGTTGCATATTGTTCTACTCCCTCTTACTCACAGTTGAGAAAAACAAGTAAATTGTATTCACTGTACGGACCATGGGGGTGATCACAATGTCCCCAGAAGCTAATTCATCTTGACCTAGGTCTCTACTAAAAATTTCCGCGTAAAAGTTTGATAAATTGAATATTTTCATACAATCTTCCAATTTATCCTAATCTTAGCCACCGAATCCCAGTAAGAGGTAGAAAAATTCAGCCCCATTTAAGTATCGAAAACCCAAACGAAAGACAAGACAGTGGTAAACATAGAATTATTACCCGCCAAATTTCAGAATTTTTGGCTCGAAATCAGGGGAAATCTTCGATGAAGGAAATAGATTACTGGGTCAATCTTTTCCTTAGAGAAGAAATCAGTTTCTCTTTCGCTCTTCGTTCACAGCTTTAGGGTCAGACTAATTCCCAACAATTCGATGTTGACGAACTTGGAGACACGATTTTACTTCTCAAACTAATTCTCTTACACGGCATCTCGTCGGTTTTTCTTTTCAATTTTTCTGAAGAATGAGCCAGATGAGGGCAATAACTTTTGGGAATTGTGTCCATTCCGAGGCTATTTTTCAATAATTACTAAATCCACACTTTTTCATTATACCTATTTAACCCATAAATTCATATCTCGGGCTAAAATATTAGAGGAAGTCACACTTTTGCATATTATTAAACTTGAAAAAGGAAAAGAACATGCTTAAAAAATCAAACGTTTCAATGATTTATGAAATCTAAAAATTATATTATTTTAAATTAAATAAATTATCATTTTAACTTTATATTACAGTTGTTGTAAAAAAAAAAACTTATATTATAGTTTATATGAAAATAATATTTATCTCTCTAAAAATTCAGTGTTTGAATCCTCCCCTTTATTTACCTTCATTATTCTAAACAAAATTCAAATTACTCTCTCCAAAAAGAAAGTAAAAACAAAATAAAATCCAAACTAACAGCAAACTAAGAAATATTTACCTTCCTTGTTCCAAAAAAAATTCAAATTACTCTCTCCAAAAAGAAAATAAAAACAAAATAAAATCCAAATTAGAGACATGAGGGCAAACTAAGAAAGATTGTAAACTATATTTTTCTAAGTGAGGATAAATAAGTCAATTAACATCGTAGGGGTAGGAAAGATATAAGAAATCGTAGGAAAGATTTTATTTGTCTATTTTTGTCGACAATTTATATTAAGTAAAGTAACTAGTCAAAATATTTTTAAAGTTCCAACAATAATAGAAAAGTCAGTTGAAAAAGGTTATATTAAAAACATAGGAAAAATAAAATAAAATAAAATAAACAAATGTTAATAATTACCTTAATAAACATTTAAGCTAATATCATAAATAAATAAGTTGAGAACAAAATAAGGCACTATTCAAGTAGAATAGAAGAAAAATATCATAAAAAAGGAATGGAAGAAAGGTGTTGAGATTTTGGCTTAATTTCTCTTGAATCTCCTTTCATTTATTTCACTTGTTCTTCGTAATAATGGGCATCTATAATATCATACTAATGTTTATAATAATTCATTATTATTTTCAAGTTAATATATTTTCCATTGCTGGTATAAAGTACTGAAAAACGCATATTAAAAAAAAAAAAAAAAAAAAAAAAAAGCTACCAAGTACCAACTCAAATTTTGTATAAATATATTTTGGAAAAAGAAATGAGATGTTTTGGACCGGAGGAAGATGAAATCCAGTTGGGCCAACCTATTTTGCTAGCTCTTGGTCCGTTGGCGTTGGCCCAACTATATAATATTAGCAGAAATTCTCTCCATAACTTGTATTTTAAAAATTGTTTACTTTTGAGAATATTAACAAATTTGTTCTTCAAAACTGAAAAGTAGATTCCCTAGAATAATTTGCTACAATATGATTTTTATGCTCTTTATAATTTATAAAGATAGGGTTATACATATTTGGTATACAACCATATCTGACAATTAAATTTTACTTTTGTGCCAACTTGAGCATACTTCGATTAATAAGGTACCTATTTTCGACTAAAAGAGAGTGAATTCTAATCTCTACCTTCAAATGTTATATTAAAAAAATCTAATCACTCAAAATTGTAACTTTCATTTTTTTCCCTAAAACTTCAATATCTCACCTCACATTTATTAACTGGAAAAAGAAATGGTAAAAGGAAGATAGTGAAATACTTTTAAAGGTTGTTTTTTTAGTAATATCATTACAATTATAGAGAAGATAATGTGATATTTTGTCCATCGATATCTTAACCGTCGAATTATATTCAAATTGATAATTTTTTGAAATTTATTATTCACTCAAATTTGGACATGAACAAAAAAGTTAATAATATTCTAACAACTTAAACCTACTTTCACAAGCTACCTCATACACATTGATTGTTTGATCAACAATTTGACCAAATCTGTGTAAGCTCAACTCAGTCAGAAGCTGGATTGATCGATGAGATGAGTAGCTGAAAAGTGTAGGAGAAACCTGAAAAGTAGAAAATAGCTCCGTCGTGCAAGTTAGTGAGTGGTCTGAGTTATATTTGAGAGAGTGTAATTTCGTGTACCTGGGAATTAGATGGGAGGTCTCTATTTATAGGCAGAGCTTTCGACAGGACGTTTGACAGGCTTCCAACAACTCCTTGGCGTTTTGGAAATCACGGCATGTTGTCGTGGAATATGTCGGAGAGTCATTCCTAATGGAGTGTCCTTTGATCGACACAACTGGTGAATCAGGTTGCCGAAGTGAAAGATGGTAACTCGACTCGGCTTGCATTCCAAGCGACTGAGGTGAGAGAAAAGTCAGCTCGGGCTTAGAGATGGGACCTAAGGAAAGAATCCTCCCACGTATTATTTTCTAGGTTGATTCTTCATTGTTATCTTATCAGGAATTGTCACGTGATCAGTGAGAAATCACCTTCAACTCTAGGTATTTTCTCCCGATTAATGGAAAGTTAAAAAGAAAATGAAAATTTTATTGATTGAAATAAATCAAAAGATAAATCCCAAGTAATTTAATTACAATTAAGAGTATATTTTGGTAAATAAATTTGCGTACGTTCGTTCTATTACACTAAAATCAAACCAACTTTGGAAAGTATTATAGAACTCTCACCTAATATAAACAGTATTAGAATTTTATGTTAGACTTAAATTTGTATTAAAATAATTTCGAACATGTCTTACATACCTTTCTTCATGACTCTATTAGGCCGTGGGTCTGTCTCTACATGGAACCCATATATATATACAGACAAAGTCCATCGGAGCAAATTATTACTTCTCTAAGAAATGGTTTACAAAAATTGTCTTCCATTTGACAAACTATTTTTTAAAATGTAATTAATTACCTGTTTAAATAATTATTTTAATATTATTTGAAGTTTATTATACATGTTAAGGATCTTACATTAGAAAAAAAAATATTATAAATATTTATAATAGACATGGACTACTTTAATCATTAATTGATTTTGAGATAAAATCTATAAATATTGACACGCTACCAAAGTTTAAAAGGAAAAAAAAAATCAAACCAACGTTTGATCTCTATGAATATTGATATACCTCAGATTCGTAATTATTCTATTCAGTTATAAATTATTATTATTTTTTAAATATAACAATATACCATTAGAATGGCAAAAATATGAAACTCAAAACATGTGATATATAGATCATAATGTTACTTATGCCCTTAACCATTAACTAATCTAATCTATATATTCATCGAACGATTTGTCCCACAACCTTTAATTTGCTCTCATTGTATGTATAATTGAAACTTGATCACTCAAAAACAAAATTTTGGGTTCGTCCAATGTTCATAATCATTAGAGTTTGAAATGGTTCTTTACTTGGTGAGTGACACATTTTTGTCTAACACTTTATCTACTTTAAAAATAAAGGAAAAAACTAGGCTATTAAGGAGGAACTTTCTCCTTAATGACAACTCATTATATTTTTTAATTTTTTAAAATTTTATTTTTCTTTTTTATTTTAATTATCAAATATTTAATGGTGTTAAAAGGGGAGCTTAAAAATAAAAACATGTCCACGTTAGCCAAATTGGCAACCTACCAATTGTAGGTCTTATTTTCTTTACAAAGCGAAAGTTTCTTTCTTTATTCATTTATTTATATTAGTTGTTTTTTTTTTCTTATTACTAAGGCAATAAACTGAATTACTTTTTTAACGGAACAAAAGGGAGAACTAAAGTGATTTACTTAATACTAAAAAAAAAAAGAAAATGCCCATGATCTGGCATGCACTATTTATCAATTGAAAATTTTTATTAAAAAACGATTAAGTATAGACAATAATGTAGGCTAATGATCACTCCCATAATCTTCATACATTTTGCTGAAAAAGGACAAATTTGAATATATATATTAACAACTCCCATTTACGTTGCCTTTATAAGCAACATTTGGTGTCAAATCGTTTACAGAAAAACCTTAAAGATCTGAGAGGAAGAAATGGAAGCAAACCTTGTTGAACCTCAAGCTCATGTTTGGAAGTACATATTCAAATTTATGGATTCTTTGTCACTAAAATGTGCAGTTCAATTGGGCATATTTGATGTCATCCATAACCATGGTGGACCCATGAGTCTCTCCGACCTTGTTTCCGCCCTCTATGTCAGACCCACCAAAGCTCAATGCCTTGGTCGCCTTATGCGGCTTCTCGTCCACTCCGACTTTCTCTATGCCACCAACAACGACAAAGATAACAAGGAAGAAATCAAGTACATTCTCACACCGCTCTCTCGTCTTCTCCTCAAAAATGAGCCTCAAGGAGCTGCCACTCCCTTGTTGCTTCTCATGCTCGATCAAGCTCTATCGGGTCCGTGGGATTCTTTGAGCGGTTGGTTTGGAAGTGATGATGTTACTCCATTTGAGATGGGGAATGGTGAGACGATATGGGATTATGTTGGTGGGGAAGCCCCATTTGGGAGGCTGTTTCATGAGACGATGGTGAGTGATTCTAGCTGGTTGGTGATGTGGTGGTTAGAGAATGTGGTAGTGTTTTTGAGGGATTGAAGTCGTCGGTCGATGTCGGGGGCGGCTCGGGAGCCATGGGAAAGGCCATTGCGGCTGCGTTCCCGCGCATGGCCTGCACTGTGTTTGATCTCCCGCATGTGGTTGACGGCTTGCAAGGAACTCAAAACTTGCGGTTTGTTGGGGAGACATGTTCCAACGGATTCCCAAAGCTCATGCAGTTCTACTCAAGGTATATTTGATTTATGTTCCATTTTGGTTCCACGGTTGTAAGATTTTTATAAAAAATTATTCCTAAATAAAAGATGAAGTATTTTATCTAAAATCTTTAAATAATACAACACAATTCGATCAGAGAATCTAGTTACATAGTCTAAGAAGTACGGACACTCCAATTTGGTAACGTGTCTAGGTTGGATACTTATTGGACATATATCAGACATTTGTTAACTCAATAGATGTGTGTCACACACTAATTGTATACAAAGTTAATATGGATTCAACACTTATTATAGAGGCACATTTCAAACACTTGTTATGCATAAGAAATA